GTTCTCCAATGGTGAGACATAGCAGCTGTTAAAAATGCCAAATGTCAAAGCTGTTGCCAAATTTGACAACAACTTTGGCAAATGGCAAATCTGCCAGCTCACCCCAAACCAATTGATTTTATTTTTGGGCACAGCTTCTCTCCAGTCCAAATCTGGACTGGACGGTGTTGTCCGGCCCTTGGGGGCTCACTACGGGTCGTGTTTCGATAATCTAAACCGTTCAATATGTAGAACTCGTTGAGTACTATATGCCTGTAAAAAATCACGTTGATCGGATATCGATAGCTATATGATCAAATCAGTTTTTTATGAAAAAAAAATGGACGGCGAAAATAAATGGCTTACAAAAAACTGATTTGATCATATAGTTATTGATATCCGATCAACGTGATTTTTTACAGGCATATAGTACTCGACGAGTTCTACACATTGAACGGTTTAGATTATCGAAACACAACCCATAGTGGGCCCCCAAGGGCCAGACAGCACCGTCTAATCCAGATTTGGACTGGAGAGAAGCTGTGCCCTTTATTTTTTTCCCTCCATCCTTTTCTCATCCATTTGTAGAAAAACTCAAACAAAAATAGATCAATTTTTCATTTTGAGAAATTCACAATTTTTTTTTACAACAATTTTTTTTAAAACAGAATTTCACTAAAACAACAACAACAACAACAACAACAACATTCAACCAAAAATACTTAAACAACAACATTCAAGCAACAACAACATTCAAACAACATTCAACAAAATAAAATTTTTTCTCAGAATAACATCTAAAAATCAATTCTTTTGTATCTTCATTAGGATCTAAAAGATTTGATTTTTACTCTAATAGATCGATATAAAAAAAATAAAAATAAATATATCATACCTTGATTGGTGACTAAAACTGAGAGTCTTGATTAGTGACTGAAATCTTGAGTTGATCGGTGATCGGTGACTGAAACCGAGAATTCATCGGTGATTTGTGACTAAAAAAGAGATATAGAGAGAAAGACAGAAAGAGATATAGAGAGAGACGATTTAATCGATAGAGACTGACAGAGAGAGATGGGAAGAGATATAGATCGGTGACTGAAACCAAGCATCAGCTTCATCGATAGAGACCGAGAGAGGTATAGAGAGAGACATAAAGAGATATATATATATAGAGAGAGAGACAATTTAATCGATGGAGACTGACAGAGAGAGAAGAAAAGATAGAGATTAGTGATTGAAACTAGACAGTGGAGAGAGATCGGTGACAAACCAGATCGGTAGAGAGAGATCAGTGATTGAACCAGACGGTGGAGAGAGATCGGTGACTGAAACTAGATCGGTGACTAAAACCAGATCAATAAGAGAAAGAAGATGAAAGTGACGGAGACCAACTTTGCAATGGAGAGAGATAGATAGAGATGTGTGAGAGATAGATAGGAAGACAGACTTTGCAATGAGATATGTAAGAGAGAGAGAGAGAGAGATGAAGAGGATTCTAGATCTCGATATCAGCCGTTGGATATAAAGATCCAACGGTGAGGATAGTATGTTGGAATGTGTGACATGAGCCCAACGATTCTATGTCAATATGCAAGTAAAAAACCGGCTAGTTTTCCAAACAAACAAGACACCAACGGCTATAAATTAAACAGCTAGAAAAAGAAAAGAAAAGAAAAAACGATATCATTTTTGTAGAGTATAAATACAAGCACCTTATATTACCAATTTTAGTACACAACAAAATATTTTGTGTCAATTATATTTTTCTTTTTTATTTTTTACACAATTAGTATGAAAGGTTCATTAAAAACAAAGAGAGGAAAATCATTCACCACTCAAGAAGATGTAGCAATTTATAGAGCTTGGTGTCACATTACTGAAGACCCAATTGTTGAGAATTCGCAATCTCATGCTCATTTTTGGAGAAGAATTTTTGAAAATTATTGTTCATTGCAGAATAATCACTCAAGAACACAAGTGTCTATCTCATCTCGATGGGGTGTAATCATGAAATGTTATAAAAAATTTCGTGGATGTTTAGCGCAAGTCCAAAATCTACACCCAAATGGAATGTCTCAAGTTGATATAGTAAGATTTCAACTTCATTTATTATGTTAGTTTTTTTTTTATATATATAAAAATTAACTAATAATTAATATAATATTTTATTGATACAGATGCTTCAAGCAAAATTGTTATACCATCAAGATGAAAACAAACATTTTCCTTTTGAGCATTGTTGGCCAATCTTGCAAAACAATATCAGGTAGTAAGATGTAGCTCCTACGAACATGGTGAAATCAAGGATACATACACCGTTTTCCCTTGATTCAGCCCCCGATTCTCTTATGGATAACTACATTTCTCTTGAAGATGACACTAGTCCAAGTATTGGTAACAATCTAACTATTGGTGGGGGCAGTGTCTCTGCAAGGGGTAAAAGGCCTATGGGTAGGAAAACTTCAAAAGAATTATTTTGGAGAAATCAAGTCGTTGAAATTGAAGTCCAAAAAAGAAGTATACAATTGGGGACATTTAACCAACACCTTATTAAGAAGGAAAAGAAGAAAGATAAAAGAGAAGAAAAAAAGGATTCACGCACAATAGGAGTTGAAAGAACTTAAGATCAGAAAACACGAACATGAGATAATGACTACGGACATTTCTCATTTGAACCCTCAGACGAAAGTGTATTACATAATGCGAAAAAATGAGATTTTCGCCAAGTGGTCCTCAAATGTCAGCAGGCCAAATTACTATTTCCCTATACCTCCTGATGAATAATTACAGGATAATGTACTTTTTTTGCAATGTCATTTATTTTTTAATGTAATTGTTAGTCTTTATTTGCAATGTTATTTTTTTATTTTGTAATGAAATTTTATTTTCTATTTTTTATTTTTGAATATTTTCTACAACAGAATGTAATATTATTTTTGCAATGTATAATGTTGACTATTTTTTAGTATAATTTAAACTTTTCAATAAAGTATAATGAAAAAATAAATATATTTTTTGAAATGAAGGCAATAATATTATAATAAAATACATTAAAAGAAGATAATTTTATTATAATAAAAAGACATTAAACATATATTTTTTTTCAATTTTTTATATTTGTCTAGTTGGGAATAATATAAATATATAATTTTTTTTTACAAACAGTTAAAAAAAGGTTACAAAAGACAAAAAATAAACAAAAATAAAATCACAAAAAAACTTATATCTAAACAACACCTACAAACTTGGAGGGAAAGTTGGTTGAGATTTGTCAAAATAACAAATGACCATTGGAGCATCATTGCTATAATTTGGCAAAATAACACTATTCATTACCAAATTATAGCAATAACAATGGCAATATGACAACAAGCATTGAAAATGCTCTAATAAGCAGATAAAGTAGAGATAACAATAATTGGCCTCGTTTGGAAATATGAAATTTTAATAATTTTTGATTTTTTATGAAAAAATATACAAAAAAATAAAAACAGTAATATAATAATTTATAGTAATTTTTTAATTTTTATGACCATTGGAGCATCATTGCTATAATTTGACAAAATAACACTATTCATTACCAAATTATAGCAATAACAATGGCAATATGACAACAACCATTGAAAATGCTCTAATAAGCAGATAAAGTAGAGATAACAATAATTGGCCTCGTTTGGAAATATGAAATTTTAATAATTTTTGATTTTTTATGAAAAAATATACAAAAAAAAATAAAAACAGTAATATAATAATTTATAATAATTTTTTAATTTTTAACTAAAATATAAAATTAACAAACGAAACTTGAGTTATTGATTAAAATGCCCATGCCCACTTGTCCTTTTTTTTTATTTTAGCCCAATATGGTTTAAAATGTCTCCAATATGATTCCGAACTCCAATATGGTTTAAAATGTCTGACCCTATATTTTATTTTAGCCCCCCTGCCCCAACCTAATAATGCTTTACAATATGATTTCAAACTCCAATTAGTTTATTTGATTTGACTTTTTTGAATTAAATTTTTAAAAAATTAAAATTTTTATTTTTTATGTTTTTTTATTTTTAGTAAATTTTTTAAAATTTTAAGTATTTTTTTTATTTTTTTAGATACATCTTACTTAGATGTATCAAAAAAGTAAAAAAATTGTGAAAAAATATTTTAAAAAATTAACAAATACATAAAAATACGAAAAATATATTAAATTTTTGTATTTTTTTGTATTTTTGGTATTTATTGAATTTTTAAAATATTTTTTTACAAAAATTATACTTTTTATGTATATTTATGTTAAGTGTGTCCAAAACTTAAAAAAATTGCTTAAAATATTAAAAAAATTAGTAAAAACAAAAAAATACGAAAAATAAGAAAGTATAATTTTTTAAAAACTGTTTTTAGAAAAACGAAACCAAACAAGCTGAAATATGATTTCAAAGTCTTATCCTATATTTTAGGAAAATTTAGTCAAAGGTTATAATAAAATTTTAATGTAGGAAGGGTGAGTATAAAAAAAATTTCTTAAAAAATTTAACATATATTATTATTATCAAAATATTAAATTTTAAAATAATATAACTTTTAATATAGATGTCGATTTTTAATAAAATTAGTATTTTTAGAATTCTTTTATCAAGATCTATCAAATACGTTATAGGTTGACTATGAAATTCTTTTAAAAAAAAATAGTACTGTCGAAATTGATTTAAATAGTGAAAGTAACATATTATTCTGTCTCACAGTAACATGTTATTCTATTAGACAGTAATATATTATTCTGATTTACAATAATATGTTACTTTAACAATATTGTTCAAGAAAAAAAAATATATAATTTACTATATTTTTACTCAATTATAAAATATAATTTATTTTATTTTTACTCAATTATATATATATATTTTTTAGAATATTTATGAAATAAAATAAATTAAACTGTCATTTTTACCAAATAAAAATCTAATAAGAAGTTTTAACAAATTTCCTTATATTTTAAGATATAGAAATTTATATAAAAGTTGTTGCAGAAGTCAATGCGATGCGAGTGCCCCTACATCGTCGCTGAGACAAGTTTTTCTTCCTACGCATTTGCCATGTGATTGATTTCTCGGTTCCAGAGCTGCTTCCCACTCACTAACCAGATCCCTCTCCCTCTCTCTCTCTCTCTCTCTCTCTCATACAATTCATTCATTCATTCATTCATATGGATGGTGATATCAACATCTCTAACCCACCCTCGAAGAACCCTTCACAATCTCTCCCCCTTCTCTTCCTCCCCTCTCCTGTCAGAAGCCAGTAAGTTTTCTCACTATATATTTATATATACACTCACGCTTGTATGCACTTGTCTGTCAAATCACAAGCTCGCTTTAACTGTCGATGTTGTTGTGCCAATATTTAGGTTCTCATTAATTCTAATCCAACTGTTCCACTTCTCAGTTATTGCTTCGTAGCTTATTCAATTGTGGATTAACCTAAAACTCTTTCTGTTTTTGTTTTACCTTCAATTTTCATGGTTTTGCAATTTTGATTGTTGTGAGTTTGACTAAAATGTAGAATTGATGTGATGATTCATGATGTATGTGTCTAGGATGTTAAATTCGAAACTAGTGCCCTGCGAGAACAATTATGGGGTGCACATCTTCTGTATATGCAGTTGGGAGGAAAAAGAAGAAATTGAGCATCCCCGAAATTGCGATTTTTGTTCCCTCAATGCGTGTTCCGCTACAATCTGATCTTCAGAGAGCGCTCAGAGGCCTAATTCCAAAAGATCTCGCGAATAGGATTGTTTCACTTCGGAATCAGATTGTGTTGATTGTAGAGGACACTGGTTTGCTCTCTTATGAATGAGCTCATTGTTTGATATAGCTAGTTTTGTGGGTTGAAGTGAGCATTTTTATTTTCTGCAGGTGGATCTGCTTTTACCCAACTACAGCGAGCATTGGAGGAGTACTTGCCTCTTCTACTTGGCCTCACTACCAAAGGTCTCTCTCATACACAACATCTACATAAGACATACATATCTAAATGTAGGCATTTGTGTGTTTTTGTCATAATAATATAAATAATGCTTGCGTTTACAGAGCATGGTCTTCAACAAGTAGTGGAGTTCAAGTGGAAAAATTTAGAGGATGGACGACAAGTAAGTATTTTCAACAAGTAGTGGAGTTCAAGTGGAAAAATTTAGAGGATGGACGACAAGTAAGTATTTAGCTGTGTAATACTTTACACCGCCATGTTTGTTTGGGCGAACATGGCATTGGGATTAGATTAATAATCTAACAAAATACAAAATATGATGTTTGACTAAGAAAATTGGGGTCCACGTTGATAATTCATCCATTGAATCTCAAGAGAGTGGGACACAAAATGAAAGACCAATAAGAGGTTCCGACTAATTAGTTATATTGCAAAATTGATAGGATTTTATCAATGCCCCTCATAATTCTGAGACACAAAATCCCTCCCAAGAATACTAATCCTATTTAATCCAATCCGCTCAAACGAACATGGCATACTTGTACGTTTAGTAATTGGATCAACAATGTGATGAACAGGAAATCTGTGTTGCAAACTCCTGGTTTGAAATACTATCTGTTATCCACATGATGGCTATGTTGGCATTGACAGAGGCAAATTCCATGTTGATTCCTAAAGATCACTCGGGTTCTTCTGAAAGACTTGTATCTGCAGGTTTCTATATGACTTCTTTTTTAGGTTGACAAAATCCACATGTGATGTTTTCAGCTTTGACTAATTGTTTATGTCGTTCTCTAGATTGCATGCGTGATGCTGTTGATTTATTGCTAAAGGCGTCGGGTTACTTGGAATTTTGTGTCCGGAACGTTCTTGTTCACTTACCACCTGATATTAAGTATGTATACATATTTTCCAAAACTTCTAGATATTTTTACTACTTATAAGAGTCGATTCAGTCCATTACTATCGGGCACATTTTTGTATATACAGGAAGAGGTTGCCAAAAGATTTGCAGGAGGGTGTATTGGAAGCTCTTTCCATTCAAGCACTAGGCCAGGTATATAAGACTTGAGTTCTGTAGTACAAAGTCAACTGATTTTGACCCACGACTAGGAACTAACAAGAGACACCTACTTCTAAAAGGAGGAAGTAAGGGGAAAAACCAAAAGAAAAGAAAGAAAGAAAGAAGGAATCAGGAGTCATTTTGAATGTCATAGTGGAAATGATAAGAAATTTAAGAACATGAATGACCAAATTTTACTATATTATTTACAATCATTCCCTTATTTAGTGAAAAGCACAAAAAACATTAAAAAGACAAAAACCACATGTGAGATTTGATTCCTCAAATTGAAGAATGACCAACCACGACATTTGGTTCTTAGCGTCTAAGAGATAACTGATCTTTGATACTGCTATATGACAAATTCAGGGAACTGGAATTCAACTTGGTTTAGCTGTTGAAAGTCAAAATGCTACTTTATCTGTGAAGAGAAGGCTGGCATGTGAACAACTCAGCTATTTCGGACAGGTATTAGATATTCTTTTTCATAACTGAAGTTTACCTCATCATTTCCATTATCATTAAGCTATTTTTCCGTGCTCCATCTGTGGTGTGGGGATTCCTCCTTCCACCTACATTTGATGTATATTCTTAATCTGGTAAATACAGGATTCACCAACTAAGCAATACAGCTGAAAGAATTGAGATAATTTTTAAATGGTATTTGTTGAGAAACTATATTTTTGCCATAGCTTTGGATATTTGTAGCTTCTAACAGAACGCCTTTTTTTATTATCTGAGCGGAATGTAATATTTTTCTTGATGAGATTGAGATCACATCACAGTTCTTTGTTTCATTTTACTCCAGTTGTATGTTTGCTTGAGACATTTTATTCAGAAGAGAATTTTCTAGATGACTAGAGCAATTTTTGTGAGTAGGAGTTTATTGTTGCAAGGTTGGGCTTTTACATGGATTTTTATAACGCAATAGAAGGTTAAAGTCTTCCATTAAGATGTTCAATCTTTGTTGTTTTTCTTTCCCTGTTTCCAACAAGGGCTTTTTAATGTTAATGCTTAGTTCAAATTGCTTTCATTTTTCTGCTGGAAAGTGTACTTGCCAGAAAATAATTTGCCTGCATGTCTAGGAATTAAATTGCAACTGTTAACACATCTGTTGATGCAATCTTTTTTTCTTTGTTGTTTAATCAGGCACATTGCTGCTTGTCTGAATGTAACTTCAATCATGGATATGGAAAGAAGCATCTACAGTTCATCAAATGGAAATATCTTGAAGCAAAGGTATACATTGATCATAATCAAACTTCAATTCTGATTTCGAAAATTTCTCTTCTCATGCATCAAGTTAATTCTAATATTTAGATTTTAATCATCATGTGGGCATTATCAGGCTGCAGCTTACTACTACCATGGTCTGATCCTTGACAAGGGCACTGAACCATCCTGCCATGTTAGTGCTGTATGTTGTTTTCTCGCTGCAGAAGAACTACTCTTAGAAAGCAAGAAGATTTGTCTAAGCTTTTGTCTTGCAGTTCCTGTCACGAGGTTGGTTTTGAATTGGCTTTACATGCAGTGCACATTAACATTTTCATTGTACCACTTTACATTTCAAAACACTGTTTATTTGATGCCCTGATTTCTTCTGTCAAGGTCTCCTCCACCGTGGGGTGCTATGAAGCTTTTAAACAAGAAAGTTCCTGAAATAGCATCCAGGAAGTCGGAGATGTATGGATACCTTTTAGACCAAGAGAAGTATGAGCTTTCACTTTTTTCTTTTCCCCCTACCTTTTTGTAATTCAAGTTCTTTGGACAATATTAGGTATGTGCAAACTTAATTACTCAAAAATGATACAGGGGTCTCCAAATCTTGCCTGATCTTCCAGAATTCCAGCTGTCATTAAGGCCTGACGACTACGAATTGCCTGAGATGGACTCAGCATGGGCTAGTGAAAAATATGAAATACCAAGTCAACCTCTCAAAGAGCATCTTAAAGATTGTGAAGATGAGATGGAAACTGAATGACCCATCATCATATGGAACCTCTATCTTGCCTTGTTCAAAAAATTACCCAGTGATAATGTTTTGTGATGACTGTACGTCCTAATATCTATATATCACTAAAACATAACAAGTCATAAGTAAATTTTCTGCTTTTGAAAACCTAAATAATACCCCGATTGTTTTGTTCAAATTATTATCACTTCTGCACAGCCCCCCTAATGCTAAACCAATGGATGGATCATTGAAACTTGCCATAGTTTGTATCTTTTATTTAAAATTTTAATATAAAATACATTGATGTGTAGTTTTTGCTACTTGTGACAGAAATTTGTGAGTATCTGATGAGGTTTAGTATTTGCCTCTTTGCTTTGCCCTGGGCTGTCTTCCTCGAGTTAGCCCCACCCAGTAGGCCTTTGTGCCCTTTGAAGTTTAATACTCCAACATAATTAAGAAATATACTATTCACGATATAATTTTTTTTGTATGTTTTTCTCTATTGATGCACATATTTTATCAAATTTAGTGACTTCATGAGTTGTATTGTAGCCATGATGAAGATGTTGACCATTTGCATTCTAACAAGCTCCACTAGATACTGATATTCCAATCTTAAAAAAAAAGGAAAAAGAAAAAAGAAAAAAGAAAAAAAAGAACAAGTTAGATATTCAATAGAATACAAGAGTGGTTATATTCACACTTTTTATTTACTATATTTATATATTTTTTTATTATTCACGCTTTTGTAGACTGTCTCAATTGTTCCTCTAAAATATTTACACTCTTTGTTTTTTTTGAAAGGGTAGTTTTTGTTTTCTTGAAAGAAAACTACTAATAGCAACATCTTCATATAAATGCATTTCGTCGTGTGTAGTATGAATTAATGATAGTTTACACTATTAAATGGAGTGAAGGTAGTTCACATGTTAAAATTAAAGTATAAATTTGTGCAAAATATGGTATGAGTATTATTATTTTAAGAACAAATATTATTTTAATAAAAAGTAAAATAAATATTATTTTAATTAGTGAAAACTTTATACCATCACCAAAAAAAAGAAAAAAGAAAAAAAGATATACCGCATAAATTATCTTCTCAGTTGATGTCATTTAACAGCGGATCTAATAAATAAGCTTATCCATCATCATCATCATCCATCATCAATTAGTTCTAGTTGTGCTAATATGACTGTAACAAACGACAAGTCATCTTTTTATGTTTTTTCACCTTCCCCATGATATTTCCCTTATTGTTTTAAAAATAAATCTGAATTAATATAAAAATATAAAGACAAATCTGAATTATTAATAGGAAAAATAGGCGAATCCCAAATTCAACCAATGTATTTGTATTTGTATTTGTATTTGTATTTATATTTTTATATAAGAGCATTTTGCATCGATCGAGCATCTCTCAACTAAACTGTCAAATGCCTTGAAATACAGAAGTCTGCACGCCACCAGATGTCCTAAAACTGTCCGAAACGAGAGAGAGAGAGATAACTTCATGGCGGCGGCCACCGGAGCAGGACTTTTCTCAGCCGTTCTCTCGCCGGCCGCCGGGAGATTCAAATTCAAACGGAAAGTTCCGGTGTCGGCGACTGTTACGCCGACTCAGCCACCAGCTTTCACCGTCTCCGACAACGGAAGGTTGCATGAGGCGGCCACCGTATCCAAACGCAGCGATAGCTCGGAGGCTATGCCGGAAGATCAACGGTTGAGCTTGAAGGATTACTTTGAACTGTCCAAGGACATGATTAGATCGGACGGTGGGCCGCCTCGCTGGTTCTCGCCATTCGAGTGCGGATCTCGATTAAACGGCTCTCCTCTCTTGCTCTTTTTACCCGGTCATTTTCTTACCAAAACTTGTTTGACCTCGGGAAAATTTTGGAACATTTTCCATCGAAACAAACAGAGAGTAGGCATAGACTGAGTGTATGATAGCCTATGATGATGTTCTTTTTGCTGTTCTTATCATTTTTACATTATATGAGCAATCACTTTGCCCAAAAAAGTTGGCCTTCTCTTTTGATTTCTAAAAGTATGCGTGCTAATTAATTATAAAACAGTCACACTACACATTATTGCATTCTATTTTATCGTTAAATTATAATTTCATTTTTTTCCCATTTTTTTTTTATAAAAATTCATGAAAAGAAATTTTAATACTCGACTCTGTTTGGTTTTAAATATTGCAGGGATTGATGGTGTTGGGCTTGGACTTATTTTGCAGCATCAAAGACTTGGAGAGTAAGCTCCCAAATTTAAATTTTCTTTAGATTGTGTTTAGATTAAGGATTTGTCGAGAAACTTGTGGAGGGGAGGAAAAAATAATTAAAGAAAAGAGAATGAAAGATCTTAATGAATTTAGTCTCTCTTCTTTAGTATCACGGTTGATGTAAAAAATTGTCAGTATCATTATCGCTGTTGAACTTGAATTTATATGCCTTTTGTATGGTAGGTTGCTTTATTTAATATGATTGGTTTTGCTGTCTAATCCATGATTTATTCTTAATGAAGGATCTTTGATATTTGGTGCTTGCACATTCCAGTTATGGATCGAACACCATTTGCAGGTCTCTTGCTCTCAACTCCTTTTCTTTATTTTGTAATTGTAATATTCAAAAGATTAGCCACAATACAAGCACCATCAATTTTTTGGCTAAATGATCATATAATTGGCACTCCCCTGCCCCTTTGCCCTGCGTTTATAATAAGGATTTTGAGCTTAAATTGGTGAGTTGTCTTAGCCAAAGTACATTAAAGGTTGTCAATAGAATTCTCTTAACGAAATTGGGATAATGGTGCCCACAATTTCCCATAATTTCTGTATCTCATAAAATAAAAGAGAAGTTGACAAATGATTTTGAAACTTAAATGTGCTTGAATATTGCACAGAAATTTTACAGCCTAATTGCATAGTGCTACAAATTCCATCATCTGGAACGGAGTGCAGGACATGTACGGCTTCGTTTGGGAAGTGGGTTGGTTTTTTGACTTTTTTAGCCTGGGTTAAAAAGTTTGGTTTGGGAAGGGCTTTTTGGTTTTTTTTGTGAGAGAAGAGTGTAATGATTATGGGTTGGATGTCATGTTTTGTTTGTTGTGCTAAAATAGTCTATTTTGTCTTTTGTGGCTAAAATAGCCACAAACCATCTTCCCAAACGGTGCAGAAAGCTTGTTATAGGAATAAACCATTTCCATTGCTGGTGAACCTAAAAAAGGATATCATCTTATAAAATGTGATGAACTTCCCTTTTTCTTTTATTTTTATTTTGTTCTATATCAAATGCACGAAGACCACAAAAGGTGCCATCTGAACTTCTAGGGATGGCTTAATTTGAGTTTAGTTTTGAAGATGAAGAACACAATCACGTCTTTTACTATTGGTGTGAAATATGTGTGAATAGCATTGTGATCTAGTCTTCCAACTTTTTGTGGTTCAGACCTGGTGGAGCTGGTTGAAAGAACAGTAAGGTCAGAGAATTGCAGTTCACCAAAAAGACCCATATATCTTGTTGGAGAATCCGTTGGAGCATGCCTTGCACTAAGTGTTGCTGCCCGTAATCCCGACATCGATCTTATACTTATCTTGGCAAACCCAGGTGGGAAGTCTTCTTAAATTGTCATGTCGATGAAGGCTCATAGGTTGAGTGATTTTTTGACTCCCACAATCCTTTTGCACAATGTGTTCTTGTAGCTACAAGTTTCAGCAAATCGCAGCTGCAACCTCTAATACCTTTATTACAAATCATACCTGAACAGATGATGCAACCTCTAAAACCTTTATTACAAATAATGCCTGAACAGCTCCATCTTACTCTGCCCTATATACTGAGTTTAATGACAGGTTGGTTTGCCTCATTGCTCATATTTTTCATTCTAGCTTTACTACTATCAAATGAAGCTGGCATGACGCCATTAAGGTACTGTGGATAATTTGACATCAAATGATGACACAGTTTGACATTTTTTCTTTCAACATATGAGTAATGCCATACAAACAAAAAATTCATACATAATTTTCATACGCAATGATGTGGCTCATTATGGACGATTCACTTCAAAACAAAACACCATTGAAGATGCATTTATTTACAATAATGACATTGCCACATCATTATGTGTTCTAGCCTTCTAGGAATACATACATGCCAAGCTGAACCAAGACTTCTATGACCATTCGAAATTGCTGACAGCTATTTACTTACCAAAAACATACTACAATATTTCAGTCCATTGGCCACAATTGCTGACCGACTTCATATGCATACATATATTCCTGGTATGTTCGGAAATTGGCACATCTAGTCACTTACAGCTATTCACGGGCCTAATCAAGCAGAACCTTTTGTTGCAAATTAACCATGCACGTAAGAGCTTCCCAATGAAACCAGCAATTGTTATGTATAGGTATTCCTTTCAAGATGGTGATGGCTACTGTGGAGAAAAGACTTCCTCTGCAAGAAACAGTTGGAGAACTATCAGAGAGTGTTGGAGCATTGTCGTCATACTTTTCTGTAAGATTCATCAATTGACCATGGATAGATAAGTGAACTATGCTAGTAATTTTCTTCTTGATAAAATGAATGAGACTTTGTTCCGCATATTGTTCATTACATCAGTGATACTGTTCATGGTGTCTCTGTGGATGGCTTCTTCTTATCCACACAAATTTGTTAAATTTTACAATGCCTTGGTTTCAACATGGACATAGCCCACCTGTCTACATTACTCACAATATTGAGTATGCAGGAGTTCTGGATTTCCCTCAGTGATGACTGATGTGTGCTTATAATTTCTGTATTGATGATGCCTTTCATCTTGTTGCTTGAATTTAATTTTCTTGTCCTAAAATGTTAATTTTGTGAGAGAAGAGAAGGATTACTGATTGAGATTACAGGTCCTGGCTGATGTTCTACCCAGAGAAACGATTCTTTGGAAACTGCAGATGCTCAGTTCAGCTTCTGCAGATTCCAATTCACGTCTCCATGCTGTCAAAGCACAGACACTGATACTTTCCAGGTTCTCACTCTTCAGCTTTTTCCAGCTTGACCTATTCAAACTATATTGAGGAACAAATATTGTAAGAACTTATTTGTTGACAAGTTGATACTAAGGCCTCGTTTGGGAACAGGCTAATTTAGTAACTTTTTGGCTATTTGGCTAAAAAAGTAAGTAAAAAAAACTTATATGTTTGGGATGACTTTTTGGCTAATTACGAAAAGATGTGCAAAAAGTAGAGAGAAAAGAGAATCTTTGACTTTTTGGTATGAGTTGTTGGCTTTTTGGCTAAAAAGGTAAGTCCCCAAACGGGGCCTAAAACACACGTCTAGTTTCATGAATTTTACCAGGGTACATACTAGCAAATGATACTGTTTATCTGTTTTAAATTCTAACTGCAATGATTCTACTCCACTTCAGCATATTCCTTTAACTGTTAGTCTCCTAGCTCTGTCTTAGAGTGAAGTCAATCTTGTCTGTGTGACTGTCGAGTTTAGTGTGGCAGCTTGTGAAGAGTTAGCCGAACATGCTTGACACAGTTTATTTTGTATGCTGGAGGATTTCAATTTTGACAAAAGAAGATTGAGAAGAAAAGAGATAATATTTAAGAGAGGAGATTAATTCTAGAAAAGAAATCATAACCCGCTAATGGTTGCTAGTGAGAGAAACCTTCTTCTAGAGTGGATTCTTAGCAATAATTTCCAAGCTACTTCCTTTCAGCATTTGCGTCATTATTACTGCGATGGTGTTTATTGTTACCATCATCATCATCATCATCTTCATCATCATCATCATCATCTTGTAGGGTGACCATTTGTAAAAAATTCCTGTGACACTGATATTGAAATTCCTGTTTCAAATAGCAAAAGGGCCAACAAGTCACAAAAGACCTTAGCTACATAATAAAAGCTTGCCCTTTCTCTGCAGTAGCTTATTACCATCCCTAAATTGTATTCAACATGGATTTACAATATCCCACCTTGGAGTTGAGTTCGCAATAAATAAGTGAGAAACTTAGTTTACTTATTGTCAAGTCATTGATTTGGCAACTTCAACTCTTGGAATGACAATTACTGTAGTCAGAGTTACTATAAAATCCTACTCAGAGCTTCAATGTTACGTCATTTCTTTTCTCCTCCTTTTTTAAAGGTTTGTATTGTTGGTTAAGATTTGGATGGGAGAAAGATTAGGCTTGTTGAATGTGGTTATTTGAGGTCAAAAAGAGTGAGATTAAGGTTTGATTGCATGCTAATAAATTGCATAAAATTAAAGAAAAGGAAAAATAAATAAAAAGCTGTATATAAGAAGAAGAAGCTGCTAATCTTATGCATAGCGCTTTAGGCTTCACCCCTTGAGGGTTAAAATGTATCATATGACACACAATCCTGGAACTCTAGGCCATTGAAATGGAAGATTACATAGAAATTTTTAAGTTAGGAGATTTATTCTACTTTTACAAAGACTGCAACTTCCATGTTACTTCAAACTTCGACTAGCAAGACCTTTCTAGAACTACCTAAGACCACATGTAAAGATCCAGTAACAGAATTTGACCCAAATACAATGCATGAACCACTAGTTCAACAAACATGGTTGGTAAACCTAGAAATTAAAAATAATTTTTAACTTCTAGAACATAAGTAAACACAACTGTAACTAGACCAAAGCACGTTAAGACTATTAGTTGTCCAAAGTCCCAAGTAAGCCCCATTTGCAATATCCAGTTTTGCCTTTCTTATTCCTGTGCCTTGCATCAGTAGACTTTTTTTTTTTTTAATAGAGCTTGAACTGACCCAATTAATGTTATAACATAGTAAACATTGTTATGTTTTTCTCTACAGCGGGAGGGATTTGTTTCTACCAAGTCAAGAGGAAGGTGAAAGACTTCGTCGTACACTTCCACAATGTGAGATTCGCAGGTTTAATGACAGCGGACATGCCCTCTTCTTGGTAGGATGAACTCTAGGCCATAAAACAAATGGCTTGCATTAATTTTGTCTTTTATTTTTGAATATTAAGTGGACATTGAAATAATGTTTCTAAGTCTGAAACCTGAGATTTCAAATGTATTATTAATATATAAATAATCTCACAAAGTTCTTAAATTATATTGCTTCATGGTTTTGACTGAAAGAAAATTTACTTGATTTTTCACCCTACAAGTCTGGCTAATATGTGTTCTAGTTCTGCCAATATGTGACAGGAAGAAGATGTTGATTTAGTAACCATCATAAAGGGTGCGAGTTTCTATCGCCGTGCAAGATACCTCGACTATGCCTCAGATTACATGCTGCCAACCCCTTCTGAATTCAAAAAAATATATGAGTCAAACAGGTAATTGATATTTGCAAATATAACTAATTTTCGTTACATATTAACAATGATAGAAATTTTGGGTTTCTTACCGATTTATGGCATATCCCTACATATGCATGGGTATAGGACATGCTATTTGGTTATCAGCTGAAGGAGCTGGTTATATCATTGGATCTCTTAGGTAAACTCATATGTTTTATGTAATCAAAAAAATTATTGTACAAGTGATGTAGAAAGTTGATGACAGCAATGTTTATGCCAATTCAAATTGTTTTTAATAACAATCATATTATTGTTGTTATTATTATTACTGAGAAATCAACTTGTTTAACTCCTTTCGTAGCTTGATTCTTTATCTTGTGTGTGTATGACATTTATCATTATTCCACTAATGGACTATAGCCCATTCAAAAATTCTCAACCCATTTTTTGGGTGAGTTGCTTTGAAATTTAGCTGTTGGAGAATTATCAGCAATTATCTCTTACTTTGTTTAATGATTATATATTTTAGATGGATTGAGTTGGCTACTAGTCCTGTGATGTTCTCAACTTTAGAGGATGGGAAGATTGTGAAAGGCCTTGCAGGGATTCCTTCTGAGGGGCCGGTCTTATTTGTCGGCTATCACATGTTGCTTGGGTTGGAATTGGTTCCTTTGGTATCCCGTATTTGGAAAGAAAGAAATATTCTTCTGCGAGGGATAGCACATCCCATGATGTTCACAAAGTTGAGAGATGGATTGTTACCTGAGTTATCATCATTTGACACATTCAGAATGATGGGTGCAGTTCCTGTATCAGCAACTAACTTCTATAAACTTTTTGCTTCAAAGTCCCATGTCCTATTGTATCCAGGAGGAATGCGTGAGGCTCTTCACCGAAAGGTATGATTTAAAGGTTACATCCTACCTTGATCTACATCCTACAAATCCAATATTTCTCGTACTTTTAATAATGGCATGTTTATACTAGTATGTCATTCCATCTTGCTAGCATTCTGTTGCTTGCCTTGTAGGATATAATCACTTGAAAGACAGGTAGGTAATGAAGTAACCTAATTTACTTTTCCTAAGCACTGACAGTCTTCAGCTTAAGGAGTGAGAGCCTCTTATCTGTGACGATTTTTATCCCTGGCATGACTTAAATAGGACAATTATTTTTTTCTCCTATGTTGCTCTTAAGTCCAATGTTATGAACAAGTCCACTGCTAGCCAAGCTATTTTAATTTCTCAACTGAGCAGAGGCACTATTCACCAAATGGAGCTTTTTACTTTCTTAACTCAGGAGAAAATTTTACCGACTCTCATTAAAGTTAAGGATATTGATGTGCATTTCATCTACTCTATCTTTGGTGTGGTTAATGTGTACATGAGAAATTTAGTGTGTTTGTTTAACACTCAAGTGTGTCGCACCAATCAGGGTGAGGAGTACAAGTTATTCTGGCCACAACAATCTGAGTTCATTAGGATGGCAGCAAGATTTGGAGCAAAAATTGTACCTTTTGGTGCTGTTGGAGAAGATGATGTTGGTCAAGTAAGCTTGAAATTTAATACCCTATTATCAGTTTCCATTTTCCACTGCATACAAATTTACATGTGCCCTTTCAATGCTTGAATTTCCACATTCCTAGTTAAATTTATCTTAGTCATTGTCTTTTGAGAATGGATTCATCTGTTGTTCTAGGGCATAGCAATGAGATCTAATAAATTTGTTAGAATATAATATGTAAAATGTTGCTTTAATAATTTGGTTAGTATAATAATTAGTATGCTTTAATAATGTACCTTTAATAATGTTGTTTGGTTTGTGCTTCTACTTTCGGTTTGTAATTGTTCTCCCTCTCCTCTATAAAGGAGAGAGCTCAACACACCATTATATACATCAATCAATAATACAATTCTCTATTTCTTTTCTCTCTATACATTTATTTCAACATGGTATCAGAGCAAGGTTAAGAATCTAATAATTTTGGTTCACCGGCGAGCGGCAGCCTCGCCTTAGCTGCCCGCTGGACCTCAACCCCTCTCTTCTGTATATACACAGTCTCAAAGGTGATCATATCCAAATGCTGTGTTATCCCATAAAATCAACCAATCAGATTTCTCAAAAAAAAAAAAAAACAAAAATCCCGAGAACTAATCGGGTACTTCTTCTATCTTCGCCAATTTACCACTTTGCCACAGATAGAACCCGTGTAGTGCACCCTGGTAGGCCGACCCGGTTATCAAGATTCGATCACCCAAGTCAACCACACACGCCCCGACTCGTATAGTCGGGTCGGACTCAGCCCAGCAAATCAAGCTTCCACACCTCCGCCGAGCTCCTGTCGCGAGCCAACACGCCTTCCGACGAACTCAGATGGACGATCGGAGCCGGGCCACGTGTCTCGTCATCCTCGTCTTCGCAGAGAAGAGCTATGAGCTCAACCTGAGCTTCAAACCTTTCCAAGAGAAACCTTTCTTCTCACATCTGAGAAGGAGTCACAACCACAACAACTACCATCACAATAATCTCGTGATGGGACAGGTGATGATTTTGAGGAGAGGTGAGTCTCTCGATTCAAAGATCAACGGTCATCGTCAGCCGGCGAAGAAGGCTAGCGACGATCTGATCGTACCGAAGCAGATCCGAATCGACGATCTCAAATCGGTCTCTGGCGATGTATACGCCGGATCGGCGATCTCGCTGTCTCCGTCGCCGAGATCTCTACCTCTGCCTTCGTTCTTCAGGGATGCCTTCTTCACGGATGATCAAACGAGCACAGTGTACAGGGCCTTTGTACTTTAATAGCTCGTGACTCAATCCTCTCTGCTGTTGCAGTCTTATTTTCACCACCTCAAACGGAGTGACAATGACGAGAGCTTCAAGAACCCCAGCACCGAACCCAAAAAAAAAAAAAAAAAGAGAGTTTGTGTTGAATTGGGCTTGCATAGACCAAGATATAAAAGGATATTAAGGTATAGACTAAAATCCATTATCTATGATGTAACGCCCTCAAAATAATAACATTAAAACTCATCAACTTAGACATGCATTGATACAAAGAAATCAACCATCGTTCCATTAATCTGAATAGTTCTTACAAAAGTATTACATGTTAACAACAAAAGCAAATACCCTACGGGCTTACAACTTTCCAAGTTAACACTTGGTTACAAAAAGAAATACCATATCATCTGTTAGTACACTAATATGTACATTAATTGATTCATATAATATCACAATTTATTTTTTCTAACAATGTCAGGAAAATGTGTCGGATCAAAATCATATTTGTGACACAATTCTATGCTAAAATTCTAGCACATTTTTATTAATTTGTTGACGAATTTGGGTAAATCACAAG